AAATATCCGATGATTTGTTAAAAATATTAAGAATATCCTTATAGTTTAGCAGTATAAATTTCTTTTATAAGTAGGAAGTCGTGAATTTAACCTCGCTTATAAACTTAAAATCTTAGACTATTAATATTTGTCATTCTAGATAACAAATGATGCATGCATGATTTCTTTTCTTCTTATTTGAACATCTAACGGGATCAAAGTTTCAAACATTGTCGAGCTTAATTAGTACTATTTCCGATCTTTCATATAAGAACTAATTGAAGGCTAATAAGACCTCAATTCACTTTGATTCTCATTTTTATCCAAAATATTCCTATCGTATTAAGGGATTCTCACAAAGAGATAATTCTGATTATCTAATACAAATGATTGAAGAGAATAGTTTAGAGAGAGTAATATATATTTGTGACAAACAACTAATTCAACTACTTTTTTTTAATATTCTCATATTAATTATGTTCCTCTTATATTAAAAAGGCAAGCCGGTATTTCTCAAGGGGCAAGCCTTATACTACCTTCGGTCTTAATTATAAGATATAGATGATTAATTTGAAGAGATTAAGGAAAGAAATTAAATTAGTTATTTATAATAAATATGTGTTATTTTTCCTCAAAAATCAATGATAATCAACTATACTGGCTAGAACTACCATTGTTAAAAGGACTATCTTGGAAAAAAATACTCCTCCAGCCCTTAATATAAAACTCATTTAACTAACCTGATTAAATTAAAGAAGTTAGATAGGTTAGTTCATTATAAGAAAAGTGACATATTTTTCCTAAAATATCATAATCATTTTTTTAATACCCCTCTCTCTTCTACTTGATTATGGTTGAAGGAGTATCCATAGGGATAATTTAAAGAAAATTGATAAATATGAGAAATAGATTTTATATTTAAAACCAAAATCAACTCAAGAATTGGGTTCTATATTAAAGACCAGAAGAGTATATAAATATGAAAGAGAAAGTATATTGGGGCCTTATAATTATGACCAAAATAAAAATCAAACAACCTTGTTTGACTTTTATTTTGGTCCTAATTATAAGACCCTAATTCACTTTGTCTCTCATATTTATACATTTTTTTTCCCAAAGTAGCCCTTCTAACAATGATAATTCTAATCAATACACTTGATTAGTAAGAATATTTTAGAAAAAACAACACATATTTATTACAAATAACTAACTCAATTTACTTTCTTAATCTCCTCAAATTAATCAATTGATTTTTATAATTATGATCGGAGGTAATATTAAGCACCCGAGGTAGTATGACATTGTCGCGCGGAGGAACGGTGTGTGAACAGTGAATATGACCGATCTGCCTCGTCACAATATATTTAACCTACGAACAGTATAACCTACGATCGTAAATGTACGTAAACGGATGGATACCCGAAATATTGATAGATGATAACGACCCTTAATGCTTGACACGTGGATTCGACATTTCTTAATTTGTAGCAATTTTTCAATCTCTCAACTAAGCTACTCATGCTATCGAATTAAATTACGTTTAGATTATTACTGGGCTCAATTGAAAAATAATGTTAGTGATATATTTTTTTTATTCATAAAATTCAACCTCTCAATTTTGTTTACGGGAAATTAACTCATTCCCTTTAAGTTGTCATAGCTGGTCATACTTGGATTGTTCACCATTTGATCTTATGTTCGAGGTATTTTTTGGAAAGTACTTTTAGTCTTCTTGTTCTTTTTTTTTTTTAAATAAAACATTTGATGGCTGTAATAAGTAGAAGGAGTAAAAATTAATACAGTATAATATTAGAATTTACAGTAGTTAATGTTACTCGTATTAACAATACATCCAACAAGCTTCTACTGGGAGGACGAATGTGCTTAATAAAAAATCATTTGAATTTTATAACAAATTTACTATTTCCAATGTTTTTATTAGTATAAATGAAACAGTTAAAATTGGTTTATATTTAAAAGGAAATGGAGTGCATTTTAAGTCAGCCTCACCAAAACTCCTCTAGGAAAATTTCCTCTCTGAGATTATACTTTCAAATTCCTTCCAAATGCAAAATCCAACGTGAAAATAGGTTTTGTCTTTTTTAAAATATCTTTACTAATCAAGTGTGTTAGTTAAAACTATTATTATTAGAAGGGTTACCTTAGAAAAATGTATAAATATTAGAGGCAAAATGGATTGGGTTCTTATATGTAGAACTAAAATAAAAATTAAACAAGGTCTTATATTAAGGATCGGATGTAGTATATAACTAATTTATGAAAATTAAAAAAAATTAACAAAAAGCATGTACTTTTTATAAGTATTTCACAAAATGTAAGCTTTTTTTTTTTCCTTTCAAAAATATCCCAATTAATTTACATTTAATGATAGATACTCAAAATTTTGCAGATGGTTTATGATTAACGTCATGAAAGATATTCGATTTTTTTAAACTAAAATTGTACTACTTCCAATCCTAATTATAAAAACTAATTAACTAATTAGAAGAGACTAAATAAATAAATTAAGTTAATTATTTGTAATAAATAGGTGTTGTCTCTCATAAAATATCCTTGCTAATCAAATGTGTTGCCTAATACTATCATTATTAGAATAGCTATTTTGAGGGGGAGAAAAATAAATATGAAAGACAAAATAGATTGATATCTTATATTTATGATCAAAATAAAAATCAAATAAAATTTTATATTAAAGATAGTAATATGATAGGTACTCCAAATTTTACTGATGGTTCTTTTTTTAAAATTTTTGTGGTGGAACGGTTGATTCCATACACGAAGTGAGGACACGTTTGGGGAAAAACAATTATTGAGTGAATAATTTCCACTTTTAAGTTGACAGGTGGGACGCATGTGCTCCGCATGTGCTACACCACTTTGTGAATTTGTGAGGGTAAATCTTACAATAATGAAATCCATCAAATCAAATAATAATATATAGATCTCACCCACATCCCTTAGCATCCTACAAAATTTAAAACTTTGACTCTAGAGGCTATAAAGACCCAATTTATCATTGATCAGTAATACTTTTTGATTCATCATATCATATCAGATTTCAATGTCCTGGTTTTTTTACTAAAATATAAGTATTCTCTTATTTAAGACAATTCTGTTTGAGGTGTTATCAGACACTAAATGTAGACAACTCTCTCAATAGAGATTCGAATCTTAGTTCGTCATGTTGTAAAGGATTATGTTTTATTTGTATATTAACAATAATATATGCTGGTAAGAAAAACAATATATATATATATATTTATATGAATGTCATTGCAGCTCCCTGACTTGGTGGTGAGCTGGCGGCCTGAACACTAGAAGATGAAAAGTCGCATTTACACTATGACCTCTCATGGAGTTTTTTTTTTTTTTTTTTGGGGGCCTGACTCATGTAGTTAATCTACGCCTCTTTTATTTAAAACTACAAGGATTGATATAATCTCATTTTTGTTTTATCTTTAAAATTTAAAATTAATGGTTTCAAAACTTGAAAACATTGTCTCAAGGACCAACATTTTAGGCATATCAAACTAAAATTAAAAAAGTGTTTAGATAGAAACCAAATCATAGTTTTAAAAATAATTTTATAAAATAAATATATAAAAAAATTTATTTCGATTTACAAAAAAACGTCTTTCAAAATACTTTTCTAGTTTATCCAACACTCATTAAATTTCAAAGATTAAAATCACTTATTTCAAATTTTAGAAACTAAAATTAAAATGATTTTAAATTTTAGTGACTAGCTAAGAAAATGGTGTTAATTCAAAATAAATATATATATGAAAATAATAATTATGTTTTCTTAACATACGTCTTTAATTTTGCAATGGAAATTATCCTCATATAAAAACTCTTCTTTAATATGTACAAATTTTGAGAGATAAAAAGAATTATGATCAAAATAAACATCTCAATTTTTTTGGCCCAAAAAAAATCTTTTATTTAGCTCTTATATTTAAAATCAGATTGAGTATCAATTATCATATGGTCATTCAAAAAGTAAAACCATGATAATTTTAAATCTCACCTTTAAATCAAAATACCTTGAGATAATCAAACTTAATCACGAAGGAGCCAGGCGTTGAATTTGAAGCAAATGCTTGATTTGCTTTCAAGCTTGACTCTCTGCCTCTGTGTCTCTTTTTCCCTTCAGTCTAAGATTCGAGACCATTTTTTATTATTAAAAGATATATTATATATTGAAACGTAGCATCACTAATGTCTCCATGTTCAACTTTTGCACAATTTATGCTGCCATTCAGATTATAGACATAAACAGCTTGGCCCCACCCTCCCCAACACCCCACATTCATGTATCCGCATTCAAACTTTCTATTTCTTTTCTCCTTCTTCTTTTTCATATATGGTTATTTTTTAGAGGAAATAGCAAACAAAGACCCCTATATGTGAAATTGTGAGTTGAAATCCCAAATTTGGAAAATACCAAATAAAAACCAAATCTCGTGTTGCAAATATAAAATCTTAATGAAATGTCTAAAATACCCTTCAATCAAATGAAAAATGAAAAATTCACTTTACTGAATGTCAAATTTAATAAACCAAATTACAATTTGGTTGAGAGTATATTAAATGACAAGTTGATTATAGGAACTGACAAATTCACTTTAATGAATAACAACTTTAACATATCAAATCACAACTTGACTGAAGAACATTTCAGATATTTCACTAAAATTTTATATTTACAATATGAGACCAGGTCTTTATTTGTCATTTTTCAAATTCAGATCCCAGGCCACCATTTCATATATTGGGAGTCTTATTAGCTATTTTCCCTATTTTTTATTAAATAACACAACATAATAAAAAATAAAACAAAATAGTTATTAAAAGCTCCGAATCACACACTCCCACTACCACTATTCCACTACAGTTCATTATGAGACTGAGACCGGCTGAGCAAGATTCCTCTAAAACAACAAACACATACATCCTCTCATAATAAATTCATTCATATATGTATATGACCCCTTAACTGTTACTCCTAATTAAATACAAGCCATGTGAAAAGTAGTAATATCAACCCATTAATTAACATGGGCATTTAATTAATTAAGATTCATTTCTTTTCTTCAAACTGATATGATCCCGGTGGTGATGAACCAAAGTTGTTAGAACACAGTAAGAACTAACAAGAACTGTGGCTTTTAATTAATTTCCAAAATCTAATGTGAAGGCATGGGAGATGTTCGTTGATCCCAATGAAAGAGCAGCAGTAAAAGCTAGGGAAACAACAAAAAGCTTAAGAAGAAAGAAAGAAAGAAAGAATCTAAGTGATTGGTCGTGTTATAAGATTGATCGAGAAGTAGGGATTAAGAAGATGATCGATTTCAACCTCCAAGTTTGGACTTGTCCTTCTCTAACCTCTCGAATAAGCTTGAGAGAGCTCTTAAGCCTTTGATTTGGTACTTCAATGCCATTATATAATCTGCAGTTTCATCAAACAGCTTGTCCATTCCTAAGGACTCGCCGCCGGGAACTATCCTCTGTAATGCCTCTATCTTCCTCTCTATCTCCTCCTTGTCTTCTTCTTCTCCCGCTTCATGATCTTCTTCTACTTTCTCATCATCACAGCGATCTTCCTTTATCGTCTTCGTCTTCTTCCCGGTAGTGGTGGTTTGGTCTCTGCTGCTGCGGCGGCGCTTGTGGAGTGGCCGGAGAGAGTGATCTGCGGTGGTGGGCAAGTGGGGGACAGAGGCATTGTCTGGTTTGGAGAGGAATGCGGGTATGGGAATGCGGGTTGGTTCTGAATTCTGTGCTTCTTCCATGAAGGGAGAGAATTAGAGAGAGAGAGAGAGAGAGAGAGAGATAAGAAGGGGGGGAGGAGGAGGAAGAAGAAGGGAAGGGTTAAATTATTGTGGGGATCCAGAAATGTCAATGCCAACGAAGATGGTCCCACCAGCGGTCTTGGCAAGGCAATTAGCCACCATATTTTCTCGGTTGGAGTCGCGCCTCACCGGTGATATTCACGCCCCTCAATTAGAGCGTGGCCCATGCCATGCCTTACCCCTACCTCACTCTCTCTCTCTCTCTTTGTAAATTGCCTAAATTTTTCGTAGTTTAAATTTTAGTTTTGGTTAATATAATTTTTATTTCTTAAATTTGTTCTTATTTTTATTTTAGTCCCTCAATTTTTAGGTAATAGATTTAGTGCCTTAAATTTTTTTATTTAAAATATTATTCTCTATAACTCAATAAAAATTTAGACTATTTTACTTCAAACCAAAATTTATGATTTAAAATTTAAATAATCAAAATAAAAATAAATATAAATAACTAAAAATTATATCAACGTTCTTAATTTTCATCTGAAAGACCAGCGAACTTCATTAGACGAAGCTAACTAGGTCATATGAAATAAAATACTCCTCCGATCCTTATTATAAGACCCAATTTGACTTTTTATTTGGTCCTAATTATAAGACCCAATCCATTTTATCTCTTATATTTATGCATTTTTTTCAAAGATAATCCTTCTAATAATGATAGTTTTAGCCAATATACTTAATTAGCAAGGATATTTTAGGAATAACAACACTTATTTATTATAAATAATCAACTTAACTTACTTCCTTAATCTCCTCAAATAAGTCAATTAGGTCTTATAATTAGGACCGGAGGAGTAAAAAAAATTATGAAACTTGATAAAATCACTTCCTCCAATACTACACAAAAAGATACAGTTTTTGGATTTACATTAGTCTATTATGCCAAGTACTTTGTGGGTTAAAAGGAGCACTAATGTGATTTGCCTAGTTTGTATGTGATATAACAGACGGGAAGAGTATATATAAAAAGATCTTGGGTTAAAAATGTAATTATAAGAAAAAATTGGGAATAAATTTCTTAATTAAAAAAAAGTTTATAGATGAGTTGCACAAACAAAAATAAATTATATATAGAGAAGATAATTTGCACAAAATATTATTTAGATATAAAAAATTAATTTGTACAAAAAATAATTTGGAATAAGAAAATATGCATTGCACAGAAAAAAATACAGTTGCAAAAATAGAAAATATAATACAAATTAAATTAACTAATTAATTTTTGAAAGAGACATTTATCCTCAATGTTCCCTGGTTACAAAGCTCAATAGTAAAAGAGAGAGAAAAGGAACATGGGGGGAGGGAAGGAAAGGAGGCAGGGGGGCTGGGAGGGAAAGAAAGGGTAAAAAAGGGAAAAGCGAAAGGAGGGGTTGGGGACCCAGAGGACACAAAACACATGTGGTGATCACATGAATCCCTTGAAGGAAACACCAGCCCATGTGCCTCCCGCCTTCTCTCTCTCCCTTCTCCTTTGCCCTTTGGGATCATATCATATCATCTCCCACTCATTCTCCTTCTCTCTCTGCCACCTGGCACCTTTCCTGCCCCTACCCCACCTTGAGCCCCACAACCCCCTCCCCCCTCCTATCCTGTATTTTTTTTATTTGCAATTCACATATCATTGCTATTAAAAAAAATTATTTGTTGGGATCTCAAGATTCCTCTAATATTTTAATTTTCAATTTTGTATCTTAACCATTTTTTAAAAAAAAATTTACCATTTGATTCTGTGATTTTAACTAAGTCACAACTCAAATTCTAAAGTTTAATTGTAAATCTGTAACTTAGTTTATATACTTAATAATTTAAGATATTTAATTTTGAAAATTAATTATTTGAGTTTTATAATTTTCGTTCAATTAAAACTTAAAATTTTAAGTTTTAACTCATTATAATTTAGCTTCTATAAATTTTAGTCCTTTTTTTTAAAAGAATTTTCGTACTCCTCCGATCTTTAATATAGAACTCAATTATTGAGTTGGTTTTTGTCCTAAATATAAGACTCAGTTCTCATATTTATCAATTTTCTCTAAATTACTCCTATAGATACTCCCTCAACTATAATCAAATAGAAGAAAAAGATAGGTATTAAGAAAGATGATTATGGTGTTTGAGGAAAAACGTGTCATATTTCTTACAATTAACTAACTTATCTAACTTTTTTAATCTAATCAAATTAGTTAAATGAGTCTTATATTAAGAATTGGAAGAATATATCATATCTGAGACGTTCTCAAGGAAAACGCTTGATATCATTGTTAAGGAAAAACTGAATCTTTTTCACTCAATATAATGGCCACTTCTTCTTGTTAATTTTTTTGTTTTAAGTTCACAACCTTATTTACTCTTTTCAAGTATTAATCACTTGTTTTAGAAGAAAGTTTTCATGCGTTTCATTTACCTTAACAATCTCAAGAGAGGGGGGAGAAAAAAAAAGAAAAGACATTTGATGAAAAATTTCGAATTAGAAGAGCCCTTAGGGCGGGCGGGCGGGCGGGCGGGCCGGGGGGGGGGGGAAGATGTGGAGGAGAGAGAAAGGGAAGAAAGGTTGGTTGTGTTTGTGTTTCCAAGAAGGGAACTAGTGGGAGGATCGAGTCATGTGGCATATCCCATTCCATGTGCCTCGCTACCTTGTTATCCCCACAACCCTTTTTTTTCTTTTTTTAAAAAAATAAATTTTAAATATATTTTTGGGATCCGTACCCATTTCTGGTACTCCCATTTCTGCCTCTGCTTTTAGTCAACCTTCTGCCAAATTATAATCTCCTCAAAATTTATTCTTATTTAAATTCAAAGCAAAAAAAAAAAAAAAGAGCACTTTGTCCTCTTCCCTAAATTACACTTTGCAAAAATTTTCATCCAATGCCATGTATGGAGATATTAAGCCACTATTTGATTCAAGATAAATGGACTAAAAAGGCAGGGAACAAATATTTTAATGATTTCATTTTTTTTAAAAAAATCGACCAGTGAAAAAGTAACCATATTTGTTAATTTTCTTAGGGATTGTAGATAAGGATAGGAGTATTCACTATGTCCCGCCTTTGTGTCCTGTCCCTGTCCCAAAAGTTTTTGAGACGAGACGAAAGCGAGACGGGACAAAATTATTTCAAAACAGGACGGGGGCCCAATCCCATCCCAATATATTATCTTTATTTTTAATTGTTATACATTTATTTTATTTATCACTGTAATAGTATTTTGGTAATGATATTTATCAATTGTTATTTTTTATTTGTTTATAAGTTGTTTTTGACTTTTTGTATGAGTTACATGATATTCTTTGTAGTAAATATTTTATGTTTGTTTATTTTTTGTCTCTCATAATTACAAAAAACATTTTTCTTTGTTAGTATTTTTTTCATTTTTATCTGTTTTTCTTACATAGTTTTTATCATAAATTTTTATATTTCTTGTATAGTTAGTTTTCAAATTAAAAACATTACACAAAAAAAAAAGACAAGACGTCCCTGTTCCGTCCCAATTATGTTCCATCTCAATTGGGAAGGGACGCTATTAGGACAGGACGAGATACGGGATGGAAAAGCCGTCCTGTCCCATGAACACTTCTAGATAAGGATATAAATAAACAAAAACTTCTTTATTAAAAAATATAAACAATTACTTGTTTTATTTTAGGACTTGTTTTGTATGAGCATAATTAGGTCATTCCATTAAAAATAATAATAATAATTTCATAACACCCTTTGCCCTTTAAGAACCTCATCGGAATTTACTCTTTTGGAGGAATTATTTTGAAATTTTGATATTTGACTGGTTTTTATGTGTCTTTCTCTCATCTTGGCGGGCTAAATTTTATATTATACAGTATTATATTATGTTCTTCATTATTAAATTAGGGGCCACATAGAGGAACAAGATATCTCTTTATTTTTCGGCCAGCGAACAAGATAGTATCTCTTTTATTTCATGAACAAGATATCTCTCTCTTCTAATATCTTCTTCATTTTAATTTTACTAGGTACTCTAGACTTGAATCCTTCGCATAGATTTTTGGATTTTGAGGTGATTTGTAGTTTTTATTATTTACACTATTGTGAATAAGTAAATATATAAAATTTATGAAAAACTGTAGCACTTCTAACAATACATAGGAAAACTGTCTAGGGAAAGACGCACATACTGCTTGGTTTTTAACTTAGTTATACAACTTTTCTAATTTACGCTAGTAAGTGAATTTTATATTTACGACAGAAAAAGTTTTTTTTAATGTAAAATTTAGATGATTAATTTATAAATATATTTAAAAAACTAATTTGTAACTATTAAAAAATTGGTAAAGTTATATATAATAAATAGGTGTTGGTTTTTGTAAATAACTTTATTTAATCATGTGTATTAAAACTACTTGTTGATTAAGAACCCCTTTATATATATACTACTCCTCCGGTCCTAATTATAAGACCCAATTGACTTATTTGAGGAGATTAAGGAAGTAAGTTAAGTTGGTTATTTATAATAAATAAGTGTTGTTATTCCTAAAATATCCTTGCTAATTAAGTATATTGGCTAAAACTATCATTATTAGAAGGATTATCTTGGAAAAAAATGCAAAAATATAAGAGAGAAAATGGATTGGGTCTTATAATTAGGACCAAATAAAAAGTTAAATTGGGTCTTATAATAAGGACCGGAGGAGTATTATATTTCTATATATAAGTCACTTGTATTTTATTATCACATGTCAAAAAATGAGTTAACTTAATAAGATTTTTCACACTTATCCCTATTAAAAAAATGTGTTGAAAAAAGATGAGTTGTCATTTTCTCTCACTTATTTTCTTTATTGTATTTGATAGGAGTAAAATTTAAAAAAAAAAACTATCCTGCAAGTAAGTTGTATTTAAGAACAAAGTTTTCTCATACAAGTGTCTTTCATATATTAACAGAGTGACATGCG